AGGTATTTGCAGTGTCAACGATGAACCTCACTTCACATGACTCGCTCTCCAGAATTACCTTTATAAGTCCATAAATGGACCATGAGACTGAGGGTGATGTAGTAGCAAGCGGCACGCTTACCAAGCGCGCGGTCCGGGGGCCAAATCCCGGATCAGCTCCTACTCCGGTCAACCAACTCTTCAGCAATTTGGCACCGGACTCGTCTGGGTGGATGAAAACGCTGACCTGTATGTCGGTGGCTTCCGTACGTCATTGTATAGGCCACATCGCATTCAATGAGCCACTACGATTCTGAATGGAAGTAGAATGCGTGCCGCATTCAAGAAGGGATTGATCGAACGGCGCAGATTTTGTCCTTCTATCCTTTGGTTGGCACTATTTACCTTTGACTGCCCCAATCTTCCAAAAACAGGCCAATTTTCGACCGACTTTTTACTGCTACGGCAGAATTGGCTAAAAATTTGTGCCCTGGATAGTTAGTCTGACCTCCTGAGCACGAATATCACATCCGCTTGGCATGAAACCTCCTGGCGCCCGCGCTACAGGCGCTGGCGCCAAAATACCCCAAATCACCGGCGCCTGTGGCGCGGGCGCCAGGAAGTTTCGGGCTAAGCGAATGTGATATTCGTATTCAGGAGGTCAAACTACCCCAGGAGACAACATTTGAGCCAAATCTGTCCACGGAGAAAAAAGTCGGTCAAAAACTGGCTCAATTCTGGATGGTTGGGGCAGTAAAGGGTGAATAGTGTCCTTTGATTGGACCTGAACGGTTCAAATCTGTTTCTCAATAGTCAGTTTTCTCTAGTCAGCTTTCAAGTGGTGAGGCTCGTGAGGTGCCGCACAGCTATTTTTGATTTCAGGAAACTGGTTATCGAGCCTTATACGTGACATCCAAGGTGGGAAGAATCTACCCAAATGCATTTGAAAAGGCGTTGGGTGCAGTACAGTACTGAAGCCTTACTGTAATCGGTGCCTCTGCGACATGGTGATGACTCAAAGTAACTTGAAGGGTCTTGCAGAGGCTAAGACAGTTAACTGGGTGTTCGCTTCGGAAACCTCTCTCTGAATATAACTTTTGCAACTTTACTTGGATCACAGAAAATTCTGCTCTTCCATACTATAACCTCAGAGGCATCTGTAAGTTTATGGTTTTGTCAATATGAAACTTTCTGGGAGAAAAGTAAAACAACGCCAATGCGTGTTTATAGTTGGCGACTCGGGCGACTTAGTGCGACTCTGCTAATTATTGGACTACTGTTTATATCGGTCATTGCGGCGGTCCAATGATTAACGGTCGGTCATGATTGCGCAATAGCGCGACTGATTCGCGGGAAGTATGAACGTCACCTCATATTTGAAACCCCTCGCACTGCAGAGATCTACCTATAAGTCGCAAGACAACGCCACCCGGGGCTCCCTCCAAATCATCACGACGTTTAGATTCCGAGTCCGTTCAGATGTATCCACATGGCAGCTTTCAGGTGAAGCGAACACCTACACTTGTGAGAGAAAGCCCAGAAAATCAGCGTAATTGACCGATTACTGTTGAAGAACGAGATCGTACCAAGGGAGAAAACGGCCTGCAACCACGGTAGAACCGAACGATAAATTAGATGAGAAACTCAGTGAAGCGTGTGGGGGGAAAAATGGCAAAAACCATCCCAGACGTTCCTGAGCAGATTTTTTTCCTTTCTTTTAAAACCCAGGATAGAGTTCGCTACCGAAAGCCACACGTTTTTTGGTTTTTACTGATTATCCTGGTGGGGAAAAAGCCCCTGCACCTGTTCAACAAGGGGGCGATCGGTCTTGTAAAAAAGTCCGCTCACAGTTCGTCCAGTAAGAATTCTCTAGGTCAGTGCTATATATCTTGCGCTAGCTCCGAGTAATCAGTGTGGGAACCCTTCGCCACTTTGCCTTTCCTATCCATGTCAGTTTCTTGGACCAGCTGGGCTGGATTTGAATGTTTTATTGCCTGTGTAAGGCGCAGGTGCAGGGGTGGAAAGTGGCACACTTATTAGGCCCACTAACCCGGGTTAAATTCCAGATCGGCTCCCGCCCAGGCTCGACCAAGTCTTCTGCCTCCAGAGACAGCAATTTGGTTCCACATTCGTCTAGACATGAGAGGATAAGAACAGTAACTTGCTCATTGACTGCACCATGCACCTGGAAAGAACAATGTATGACATTTGTATAGGCAAATTACCCAGCCAACTGAATCCAATATTTTTCTTAGAACTCGAATGCGTGGCGCGCTCATAAAAGAGTAGTTTATGCTGAAAGCGAAGTTTCCTTCCGGTTCAATTAAACAGTGCAGGTTCGAGGTGACTAGCCTTCTACCTAAAGTTACACAGGTGTATCTGTGTAAATCTTCTAGATCTTCTTCCAGATCTGTGTTATTCCTTCCAAGACACCGTTGCCCTTCCACTTACCCACCATTACAAAAACATTTCCTTTTCCGGATCTGTACGTTTTTATAGAATATTTTTTCAATTAATCGAATGTTTTGGACGGGCTGTCAAGAACAACTTCACAAGCTTGTTCGGCAGCATTTTTTATCTGTCATTCATGGCTTGATTTCCTTGAGATCTTTTTCAAACAGTTGTCTGACGGCCGTCCGTCCTTGGAAAGGTCGCCGTAAGAGGCCACTGCTCATCTTACCGATGAAAAGGAAACAACTTGTAATGGATATCTAATGAGGCTACTTTTAATGGAGATGATCGCTGTTTCAACGAGTTCATAGGCAGTGAAGGTAATTCAAGGTCAGCGCCATTATTTGCAGACGAAGATTCGCGTTAGTGGGGTTCAAAATAAGAAATACGAAGAGGCTCAGAAAGTCGATGGCTGGAGAAAAATAGAAAAAAATTGCTCATTTGATGTCTCAACAGGGTGTAGCATCGTGAAGTGTAAGGTGGTGGTCTAGGTACGAGCCGCCCCTCCGAGAGAGGGTGTCAGTACGACCCCCTGAATGAGGGTCCCATAGCGACCCCCCCCCTCTTCCCCGGCACCTACCTAAAAATTTCTCCCATTTCCAGTTTTTTGACCCAAAAGTTTTCTTTAGAGCACGGAGGGATATATAGCCAATGTGAAACGGGAGAATTTCTCCAACTTCCTTACCTTTTCTTCCGAATTCCCGAAAATTTTCCACTTCTTCCCTAAAAATTTTGCTGTCGAGCGGGTGGGGAGGGGGTCTTTGCAGCACTGAAACAGCTGAAAAGTCACGCAAAAGTCAATAATCGAAACACCAATGCGACCAATAATACCTCTCAAAGACACATAACCCCCCCCCCTCCCAACAACAAAAATTACGACCCCCTTCCCAGAAAAAGTACAACCCCTATGTGTTTTCACCACAACGATGCTGTACCCTGTTTCTCAAAGGGGACCTCTAGCGAGCGCACTTGTCTGGGCCAGGAAAAGTTGTGATTAGACGAACCTCTTCTCTCGCTGAGCAGACAGGGATATGAGCGACCCTGATCGTCTGCGCTCTAAGCGTAGCCTTGGTTAAAGAAAGGGACGCCGATTGCAGAGGGATGCCTTTTTCTTTTTTTTTTTTTTTTTTTTTTTTTTTTTTTTTTTTCTTTCTGCGCTTGTCTAGCTCAACTACATGAGCACCTAAAAATATAAGCACCATGGTGAAAATGAGGACATTCTAAAGAGCCTAAAAGGAAGAAGGAGTCTTTGACTGGATGAAGAAGTGCGGTACTTCGTTCGGGTGACGAGTATATTTTTCCGCACAGGGAGTCCTGTCCCCACAATCTTATAGGCTCATAAAAAAAAGTCGTTCACGAGCTTATAGAGAAAACCTTTTTTTTTTTCAGCCTTCTCTACGAGACTGTTCCTTAGGCATCCGGTTGTGTGCGCTTCAGGCCCAAGGTTTTCGGGAAGGGATACGAAGCTTTGGAGGTGTGGCTCCCTCAACCTCCCCCCCCCTCCCTCCCGACCAACTGCGTTGGAGCCGACAGCGCTTCCATCAGTTACTGAGAGGCAGCAGAAGGGTACGAAATTGAGTGAGAAAATGCCGACAGTGGTGAATGAAGCTGTGATGAAATGGCTAGTCCGACAATAGCCTTCACTCCTCATTAGCTTGTCGTGGAAGTCGCCATCAATTGACCAAAGAAGCTTTTTCTCAAAGGATATGAAGATAAAGCTTAAAGTTTTGAGTGCTGATCGACTCTTTTTGGGAGTCGTACTTTCTACGGTGGAGCCGTCTTTGCAATTTGGTTGAAGCCTCGACGAAATGATCTCATTACGCAGGTGCTTCGGTCTGACAACACCATGACTGGAACCTGCCGAAAGTGGCTTCCCCGCCTATGATATAATCGGATTTCATTGGATTTTTGAACTTGTACAGTAATATTGCACTGACGGCTTTAACTGTTTTTTTTCTCACTACTATTCGCCCAAGTTATTTCAGGGCTGAGTCTATGATAGAACTCATCTTCTAGGCCAAGAAATGAACGATATTGAGGAAGAGAATGAAAGCTCGTCGTCGGAAAACGGCAAAACCCTCGATGCCTTTGCTGTGGATACTACAGAAGGTAAGTTTCCTCAAAGGTTTCCCAGTTTCTCTTCGTTGCACGTCTAAAAATGAAGCAATTGCTACGTGGCTATATGCTTTTCTGTATATGATCTAACTAGGAATACTAATAAAAAGTAGCATAAAAAGGTCAGAAATAATGAGATTTCTATATTTAGAAATGAGGGCTGGTTCTGCCAAGTCTTTTTGTGCATTGATTCTGATTTTTTCATTTAGTATGGACTACTACTTTCACGTAATAATAGAAACCATCACAAGTATTTTATCGCCTTTCGAGTACATGAGACTGAGAACCTGAGAACTGAGCGTTCCGGCGCTGTCATAGATATGCAAGCTTCGCTCAGATGTTGGTAATCTAGCCAAAAGGATGGAGGCTGTACAGTTTTGGCCACTCACAAATACGCGAACGCCGAAAGCGCGACGAGACCACTGCTCCGCCCACTGGCCACGGCAACGCCCAGCTTTCATTTTTTAAAGGACTGCTGGTGGTGCGGTTGTGTGCTATAAACTCTCTCCATTTCGAATGGTGACTGACCCAAACAAGTGAGAACATATCCACCGCGCCTTTCCTTTGCCTTATGCACGTACAAGCGTGGTTCAGCATGGGGTTCTACATAGGGGATTCCCGGCGAGTATGATCCGCTTTTTTTCTTCTTACCCATCTAATTACCGCTCTATCACTCGTGAGCTGCACAACTTACCATTTTCGAATGCGAGCGTCCCTTTCATGGGTAGAAACGCACTTTCTACAAATCAGTAAACTGAACGTTGAAGATCGATTCCCTTATACGACAATTGCCCTTTTTATTTGGAGTCTTTCCCCACTTTTTCCACCCTTGCCTCTGACGTTTGCCTTTTTACGCATGGGCATAGCTCTTCCCGATGAGAATTTGTTGTTTTTTTTCTGATTCTCGCAGTAATCGGATTAATTCGAGAAAGTTTTCAACGATATCTTGTCATTAGGTACGGTCATCTGGGTTGCAGGAGTCATATCACCCTACGTGGTCCTGTAGATTTCAATTCTCTTCAAGGGACAAGAACCTGACTTCTCATCGAAATTTATTTAAAACTCTCTGCTTCCGAAAATTCTGAGCAAAACCTACTGAGGGATTAAAGCGCGTTTCATACTTCGCGATACCTATCGCTCGCCAATTGCACATCTGAGCGACCTAGTCTGGCGCGAATCAGCGCGCGGTTAGCGCTCGAGTCGCGAAGTGTCATGGCGCTCTTATGGATCAGAACCGCGCACATAGCGAGTGCAGCATGAGCTTGCAGTGAATTTTGTTCCCATTGAATTCGCATTTGTTCCGACCCCATTTTGCCTCGAAAAATAAGTGTTCAGAAAGCGACGGCTTCTGTCCTCCGGTGGTTGAGAACTCTTGCACGAAAAGGCGTTCAACCTATGAAGATAGTGATGGTGATAATGAAGAACTTGTCGAAGAAGAACCTGCGTCTTACTTTTCTGTTCCTACTTTTATTCTTGATGAGGTGAGTTTCTTTCCATATAGTTGTTCTTGAATTTTTATGTGATTTATTGGCACTATTGAACTATTCCTACCCCAGTCTGCCAAAATCAGGCCGGTTTTTTACCACTGTTTTCTACAAGGGCAGATTTGGCTGAAAACTGGCCGTGGGGTACTTCGACCTCCTGAACACGAATATCACATCCGCTTCGCCCGAAACTGCCTGGCGCCGGCGCCAAAATACCCTAAATCACCAAAATCGATGAAAACTTGTATACGGGGGTTATTTGACATCCTGATTACGAATATGATATTTATTCTTGGCGCCAGCGCTAACGTAGGACACTATGGTCATCTGCGCTTTGCTAGGACTGAGCCTGGCCTGAAGGGAATCACTCCTTTTCCCAGGTTCAGCCTCAGCAGAACGCTAATGGCGCTGGTATGGAGAAATAAATGCCATACTCGTGATCAGGGCATCAAACAACCCTATTACGCAAGTTTTTATCGATTTTGGGAAGAAAAGGTGTGGCGCCAGCGTCAAAAGTAAATGCCATATTCGTGTTCAGGAAAGTCAGTTAACCCCCGTATATAGTGTAGTTCGCTGCGGACGGTTGGGCGTGTCAGGCGGGATGAGTTTGGCGCGGTGCCAAACCCGTTCTCCACCAGTTGTTAAAGCGAGCAAGTGATACTGTATCATATCGTTCGTATTACTCGTTTTCTACCACTTTTTGTCGCATGCGCGCTTCAACAAGAAGGCAGAGAACGGCTTTGACGGCGTGACACACTCATACTGCCTGACACGCCCAACCGTCCGCAGTGAACTAGAGTATACAAGTTTGGGGAGAAAAGTGTTGGCGCCATCTTAGCGCCTGTTGGTGCCAAATGGTGCCAGCACCAGAAATGAATGCCATATTTGTGATTAGGACATCGAATAACATCTACAGCAAAGTTTCAGTAAAAAAATTGAGCTTTTGGGAGTAGGAATAGTTCAATACCGATGCCGATTTACCGATGGTGCCTCTATAGGTTCATGTTGCACCAAGCAACCATGACATAATGTTTGCGCTAACGTAATCCACAGTTAGAATTGGCTAGAACGCGTTCAGACTCCGCGACCCAATCGCTCGGGCGATCCGATCGCGAAGTGTGAACGCAGTTTTAGTGCTGAGACGTACTGTTTAGAAGATCGATGGGAGCGACAGCACCGTCTTTTTCGACACATGTCCCTCTCAAATCAAAGATTTTCCTGTTCGCTCAGGTGCTTGGCATACGGTAAGCCTATTTTGTAGTTTTAACACAACTATGTTTTGTAACTATGTTAGCTATTTTATGTGTGCTTTTGTTTTTCGTTTCGATTGCTGATCCTTCAGCCCATGTAGCTGAGAAGTACTGACTATGAGTGTTTCATAACACTTTCCACTTGTTGTGCTGTTCAATGGTTCATCTCAAATTCCATAGCGGGCTAGTACCCTTGACATGTTAGAAACGGGGTTGGGAGGTTACATCTATGTTAGGCAAAATAGGCGTTGCAAAGACGTCCTAACGCGGCATTGCGACCAAGGCCTATGTTTAACACATTGAGTACCGCCGTACTACAGCGCACGTCCCAATCATTTCATCAATTTTCATCAGGTGAATTGATCAGTAATTTCGCTCTCTACATTTTCAACCGGCTCAATGAAAGGGAGGATACGTTAATAAAGAAGCGTGTTTTCGCAACAAAAGAACACGAGAGGAAATTCAAAATAATCAAATAAAACACAGCACAGGGACAAATCATGACACGCCATGTGTGTCACGCGGTCGGAACGTGTGAAAACTCGGACTGTCACCTCAAGAAACGTTGTGACATGTGCGAGGCTAATGGATCCCCAGCTGCAATAATGTGCCTTTTTCTTCGCTCAAAAGTACACAGGAAACTAGGTAAAGTAATGATACTCCGCTCGCTCTGCGTACAGCCAGCCAACCTGGCCAAACGCGCTGCTCATAGTGCCCGTCATCTCTAGATGATCTCTACCTGCTGAGCATAAGTGAGTCATGTTCGTTGGAGATTTGTTGAACGCGAGTGTTGCAACCTGAAGATTGCATGGCTTTTTTCTAATGTTTTGTTAACTTTTTCAGAATTTTTATATTTTTTCTGCAACTTTTGTTCAACTCGTGGGACTTTTCTACTGATGCGTTCAAAGGAATCCCTGTAGAAAACGGTGAGTCATTAATCTAGCAAATTTCCATTGGGTTTGTATCGTATTTCGCTGGCTTCAGATCTCAAGTGTCGATTGTTGGTCAATTTCAGAACGAGCTGACAAAGACTGGATTCATTTATGCCAAAGAGTTGTTCGCCTGGTTTCAAACGATGGAAATGCGGTTGGGTTACTCGCTACATATCGCCCAGCATGAATACGTCTTCGAAAATAGCCTTGCCTTTTTCCCGTTCTACCCAATGACTATAAGGTGGTTGATTTTTTAGAATTTCGGCTACGGTTGATGCCCCTGCTTAGAACATTTTGATTTTTTACACTTCAGAATCCTTTCAATGGCCTGGGCAACTCCATTCGTTCATTTTGGTTTTATACATGTTTCTTCTGCATTGCTGATATCGGCGGTCGCAATTAACTTGGTGAGTTGTCCTTGTAACTCCAAAGTTGTTCCATGACATGGGGCATTTTTGTGCAAAACTCTCCCGTGGCATTGGAGTACGGCAAACCCAGACGCCTCTTAGGAGCGCGAGAGAAATTTTCATCCGGTGCTGTATGTCCGCCCCTGGCCCCCCTCCAGTAGTTGCCGAACAGGGAAGGCATTTAATGCAAGTCCGGGCAACTGCTATTAAAATAGTTGCTTTTCAATAGTTGTTGTCCCACTCCTCCGACCTTCGCTCAACTTGTGAGGAAGTAGGAGTTGCGAAAAATCAGTAAGTTGGTAGATAGTGTGGGGAATGGGGTCGCCTGAGAGCACCAGAGGAGGAACCTCGGAAGGGGGGGGGTCGCATCTGAGTTTTTTTGAAAGAAAAAATTTTCCCAGCTACAAGGAAGTGTCCTGCCACGAGCTGCTTTTGCAAGGAAGACAATCTCTGCATGACCCTGACCGTCTGCGCTCTAAGCCTAATCATTGGCTAGAAAGGGAGGAATGGAGGCTTTCTGCTCCTCCTCCCTTCCCCCCTCGTTACGTTACCACCCAGAATAGCACTTCTGTTGCTTTCAGTCGCTTACAGAGTTTACATGCTCCTATTTGAGGGTTGCTTCCTTATTGCGGCAGTACTTCTGTACCGGATTGTGCTGCGAGTTTCTCGTTCTGTGAAGCAGGCAGTCATTGCTGTGCTGATATTTTCGGCTAACCCTGCTTCAATATTCTTCTCAGCTGCCTACACAGAATCGGTATGAATTCACAGTTTCGGTTTCCTATGTCTTCTAAGAGCTGTTCGCTCTTCTTGGCTTTTGTAGGTCATCAATTACTTTACAGCTCTACTGCATGCTTACCTTCGCCGGTATATGCGTACTGCTCGAGGATCGCCCATCGTTTTTTATCCGGTATCTTGGTTCTCTCCTCTGCTTTGGTCTTGCCTACGCTACACGGTATATTTCCTTTCTTTAGCATGTCCTCTTCCTCACTGTGTTCCGCTGTGTTCCATCATATAGAGTGTATTTTAGTTCGAATGGATTGATTAATATTGGATACGTTGGCTTCTTCTGCTTGATCGACTTCTTGCTTAACGTGGACCATGAACATCCCCGGCGACGTCGTGTGATATTACGAAGACCTATCACAGTTATCATTTCACGTGTAAGTGAACCACTGTTGTAACTTTTTCCAAAAGAGCTGTCCGAGTTGAGTTGCAAGTGTAGTCTACGCTGGGTAAGGGGCGGGCAGACGTCGTCCGTGTCATTAGTGGGTTGGATTTGAGCCATAACTCAACCCTCTGGTGGCCCTTCAACCTATGACGTTTACGTTGTCTACCTGCCGCTTTCTAAAGTGGATTGTAACTTCAAAGTCATTTCAGTTTTTTGCTGAACAACGTTTGGTTTTCAATTATTTTATTAGAGATAATGTTACCAAGTGGCATTTCAGGCGACGGCATTTATAATGCGCATGATTCTCGCTGTATTATCCATCGCTTTACCTATATTTGTTCATGGACGTCGTCAGCAGATTGCCTTTTGTTCACAGTGTAAGTTGTTGCTTAATACAAGCGATATTGGGCAGCGTTTAGACTTCGCGTCGACGCGCTTCTACTGCAATCGTGCTGCAGTGCTACAGACAGGAACGCAGCCAGTATCGATCGGCTCCGGCTGCTACTCTTTTGGGGAATGAGGGAAAGTGAGGGGATGCCTAATCCGATATCGATCGGCGCCAGTCGCAAGTGTTCAAACAGTATAGAAGAACGGGAGGGTGAAGAAGGAGCGATAAGGAGGCAGCAATTTTTGGGTGTCTCCACCCCCGTTCAGCGTGACTGTGTCTTTGAGATCTGATCATTCTCTCAGAGGAAAAGATCCATCTGAATGGTATTAACTTTCTGTGAAAAATGATAAGCTTCGTCTCCCTTCCCGAATATCATTTGAACTTTTTCAGCATCTGCATCAAGTGTTCCATCCACCCTTCAACGATTTGCCACCGAGCATCAGTTGGTCACGGTTGGGCGTACTGATGTTATCGACTGGTGCAAGTGTGTATTCCGCAAGTTTAACTTTTTTTTAAACGTTTAGATTGATCAAAACGCTTTTTGTTAACCGTGGTTTCTATATAACTTTACTGGGAAGTCTGGCGTTTCATTAGCAATCTGCAATTGAACGGTTGCATTTCGCTATGTTGGCTTTTATACGAAAAGCTGCCGTGGCCTTCGGTTGAATTTTTTAGCCATGGACGCTGCCTTATGAAGTACCGAAACCTACTGCTAGCTCCAAATATCGTCATTTTTTCTGCCTCAGTGCTTCTTTGAGGTCTTCAGCCTAGGGGCCCTCAGGGCCAAAACTCTTGACTCTTCTTCTTGGTTCTTTCGTGTTCGCTTACGAATCGGAGCCAGTGAGACAGAAGGATAATGGAAAGAAGTTGTTAAATGTTAATACCGCGTCAGCGTTTCGAGAACGTTTTGTCATTAATGTTTGAGCGTCTTCGAGCGGCCTAGAAAACAATAGGTATCGACCTAACAACTGGTCGCTCAAAACGCTGCAGACGTTCGAAACGCTGAATCGATAGTTATGCTTTCCTCGTGTGTGGGAGTGGCTATGCCTGCTTAAGATCGCTCAAAACGCTCAACGGAGAATACAATTCGGCGGTGCGCTTTAGGGGCTCACGCTCTCTGATTCCTCGAGAGCGTATCTCAGGCGCAGCTCGACTTTGGGGAGGGGGGGGCATTTTTACTCTGTTGCTTTCACTAGTTTCGGTTTACATGTCTCACTCCGGTAAAACCTGTGAACTCTCGTGAAGCTGGACCACGGTCGTCAAGCCATCATGGTCAAACCTGTCAATATCGAGAAGAGGCTGTCTGTAGGATAAGGTCGATGGGAAGTAGGCAAAAATGCGAAATGCCTTTCCCCCCCCCCGTCGGCCGAACTGGCGCGCCCGTATTACATTGATCATAATCCCTTATACTTTCACGCAAGTTGGGGAAGCATATGAACGACGGCAATTCGAGCGTTACTAGCGTCTTTAACGGGCCGGAACTCAACTCTATGAAGTATTTCAGACGGCCAGAGTTTAAAGATGTTGGGCTTGGAATCGCACTTTGAGTGCAGCTGTTGTGGGGAACGTCGCCTCAACTAATGAAGGCTAATACTCAGAAATCTGCGCGGGTCCGAGGAAGGTTGGGGGGTGGTACTTCGCAGGGCCCGCGAAGACTTCACAGGTTCACCAAATTGTGACTTGTTACCTAACGTAAACTACCAAAGACAACTAGCGAAAGTGCAAAATGAACCTCCTAAGGCCGATCATCCGCTCAGAGGGTCTGTACCGAGTGTGAGCGACTTCATTTTCAGGTGCTGACGTCGTCAGTGGTTTCCGTCATTCTAAACGCTTCGCTAACAATCGAATATTGGCACAGTATCATTGTTTGATTACTGCAAATGACGGAGATACATGTTTTTCATGGCTGCAGCTGCACCGGCGTTTTACTTGGTAGTTTTTGGTGCACGGCAGACATGGTTGCGAGCAAAGTCGAAAAAGTGCGTTTAAACTTCACTATGTTCCGGATCAAGTAGCTTTCACGCTCGCTCATTCACTTTCTCTTCTGCAGCCGCGTGACACTCATGGAGTGTCACGCGGTGCTGCTTGGCTAATATGAGCGAGGTGATAATATCTTCAGAAGTTTATGGCATCTTCTGGCCGAAGGCGGTGATCATGTACCGTACACTCTTCATGCGATGTTTATGGCCCTTGGAGCATTATTTGTATATAACGCAGAGGTATCTTTACTTTGATTGTAATGTTATAGTATTTTTCTGAGGTTATTGATTCCTAGGTCCTGACGCGAATGTTGTTCTCCAGTTCGCCATTTCCTTATCTCGTCCTTGCACGATGGATATCTGATATCACACCGCAGGTACGTGTTCGAGCTCAAGGACCGCCACATGGGAGAAGGGGGGGGGGTGAGGGAGATAGGCAACAATTTTGCCTTCCTCACTGGTGCGCCCTCCTTCTAGTGTGGCGACGAGAAGGATTGTGCCAGCGAGAAATCTCGTCTCTGCCTATCTGTGCTCCAGGGCCGTGTTCATACTTTGAGACTGAAGGGATTCGGCGATGTGGGAGACTCTGCGATTCGAGAGATTGCGCTATTAGGAAATAGTGGGTATCAGTCTGGCGACTGTGGAGAATCAGCGATCCGGCGATCTGGGAGACTTTCTGTTTCGGACGATTGCGCACCAAGAGAGTAGGCTCCGTGGAAAAACTCACCCATGCGCGTTGCGGCGCGAATTTTTGACGTCATCGCGGCGGCAGGGCGAAGCGAAAGGCGATGGCCTGCGCCTCCGCCACTGTGCTCCAATCAGCAGCCGCTTTTATGTGGAAGGAAAAAGAGAAAAAAAGAGAGAAAGATGATTGAACAGATAGTGGATGCTTACAGGTTAGTGGTGAGAGAATACAGAAAAGTCGACCATCAGGGCGAATTACTTCAGTAAATGGCAAAACTGGCGAAATAGTTCCCTTCGATTGTGAAAACGACGCAAACAGCTCTTACGCAAACGTTAAGGTGAGGTTTGGCAAATTGCCAACAGTTGGATGTGACCTTATAACGGTATAACGTTTGCGTAGGAGCTGCTTGCGTCGTTTTCACAATCGAAGGGAACTATTTCGCCAGTTTCGCCATTGACTGAAGTAATACGCTCCCTTTTCTCTTTTCTCTCACCACTATCAGTTACCTGTAAGCATCCACTATCTGAACAATCGTCTTTTTTTTCTTTTTCCTTCCACATGAAAGCAGCTGCTGATCGAAGCACAGTAAGCGGAGGAGCAGGCAGGGTACAGCATCGTGTGCGGCAAACCCATAGGGGGGTCGTACTTAGCCGCTGGGGAGGGGGGGGTCGTAATCTCAAGGGTCACTCAGAGCCGAGCAATGCTTCGACATTTCAGTTGATAGTGGGAGTGGAGCTATGGAAGTCAAGATGTTAAAAAAATGAAGTTTATTATGAGTGTATTCTTTACAGCTTTAAATGCTACGTTTAACAGCCCTCTTTTCATGGGAAATCCCCAAGAATGGGTTCGTACTTGGCCGCGGGGGAGTGGGAGTATCGCAAAAGTAGAGCGTAGAGAGAGTACAAAGGTGGCATGTGAGCTAAGGTGATGGGAACTAAGCAAGGAAGACGGATGTAAATAGGAATACAAAATAGAATGAAGATTCATTAGCAATAAGTAAGCAAGATAAAAAAAAATAAAATAAGTGTGCAGTTTTATAACATGAACCTCGTAAGTACGCTTAAGATGACTAAATAATACGTCTCAAACAGATTCGTGCGTGTTGTCCTTTACAAACCCTAAACAAACATCTGCTTGCATGGATAAAAGCACCTGAAATTAGAATTTACACCTTTCCACCACCTCTCCGTAGGAGCCTAATGCACGGCGCACAGACCAAACCGATTAGTGATAGCCGAGCTCCTCTTCCACCCATTTGAAGGGAATATGTATTTTGGAGGCACACTGAAAGGTGTATCCTCACCGTGGCACATAAGGAGTCAATTTTCGGGTGGTCCAGGGGGTAGCGCAAGGGTAACCCATCTAAAATATCTCCTGAACTAGTGGGTCTTCAGAAAAACCGTGAAGCTTGTTGGAAAGAGAAAGGATGGAGGGGTTTCAGGACGTTTTTAATCCTGATGAAATTGCGTTTGAACGAAGCAATCCTCGCGTGAAGCATGGAAACCAGCTCGCGATTTACCCCTAGCCTATCCAAAACCCATCCGGAATATTTCACCACCAACGTTGGATTGTTCAGTTTGCAACTAGTGCCTAAGAATACACAACAGTAGAATACTTTTGCCGTTGCAGCTGCTCACCAAATTCCAAGAAAGCTCCGGCACCTTAAAAAGAATATAACCCCGACGGGGGAAACAGACCCTAGGACGTTGGCAAGCCCAAATACCGCGCTCCAATGACGTTTTTCAAAGAAAGCGGTCGCAGCCTTGCGCCCTGCAGCCTGATCGATAATAGCCAAGTATGGAACGATTTACTGCCGGCCTGGTTATCCTTTTTTCATTTAGCTCTGCATTTTTTGTATTTTCCATGTTTCGCTTTGTTGTGTCGTGCATGTTTTCATTATTTCCCCGTCACCATTCATTGAATGCACATCTGGGCCCTGACACGGATGACCGTTGGGGCTATTTTTCACCAGTTTCACCTAATGCAATGATCACCATTAGGCGCTATTTCAATTGTGTTTCTTTTACATATATAGTTATCGAACGAGGAGTTTTATTTTGAATCCTAAGACAAAATTGTAGGTAATGCGAGGCTGTTGTTCAGCCTCATATTGCATGAGGCTGAAACAGCCTTTTATTTCCTGTATTTTAGAGCAGAGTGCGCCTTTCGAGAATCCAGATTCCATTTCAGGAAGCCATTTGTGGTGAACATGCATCTGGTTGTCAGAGATTGACGCAGAGGAGGGGGGGGGGGGTCGTGTCTGGACCCTACATTCGAGGGGGGGGTCCGGTACCCACGACACGACCGCATTTGAACCATCCCCATGCTGTACCCCTGGGCGCAGGTCCGAAGGAGACCGCCCTTCGTCGCGCCCTGTCGCCGCGCTGACGGTCAAACGGCCGCATAACGAATCCGGGTGAGTTTTTCCCTCCGCCGGAGAGCTAGGATGCGTGTAACGATTAGACACCGGATGGCCGGATCTCCCGGCCTTCGCTAGGAGTGGCGTCGATCGATACCCACCGCTACCCTGACGCGCAATCGCCCTTGTCGCTGAACCTCGCCGGATCGCTCAATTTTCCAGTATGCCGGATCGCTGAATGTTCGCAAAACTCCGCTAACGTTCGCGGCCTGTCGATCCACCCACTCCCTTGGCACACAATCGCCCGAAACGCCAACTTACCCAAAACGCCGGATCGCCGAATCCTCTCGGTCGCAAAGTGTGAACGCGGCCTAACCGTCGTCAGCCGATTTCACCAATGACTTTCATAGAGAGGGCTCAGCCAAACAGAGGACGGGCATGGCCTAGCATTGCTGCTAACCTTTCTCCCCCTAACTTCACTAGCTCCTTAAGTTAAGGTGCCAATTATTTGCCGTTTTCCTGGTAACTATGTCTAGATTTTTCCAGGTACGGCTCTCGGATCTTTTTGTGCCGCAGCCACTTCCGTTTCTCACTTACTTCTGTCGTCGTGGACTTCCAGAATTTCTTCTCTATCTCTATCTTATGGTTTACTTGATATTCGGTACAACGATGCATGCCATGTGGTTGCCATTCACTTAACCGTGAATCCGAAATCTCAGCCTGTTTTTGTAATTCTCTTCATGTCTGCGATCTCTTATTTGCGAGTATGTTCTTCTGTGTACCCTTGTTACCCCACTAGTCAATCTCATCTGGTTGCGTTGTGCCAATTTGTCGATGATCTCTAATTTTGTCCAAATCTGGTCATCAAAATGAATTGTGCAGTGTTTTTCATAATGCAGGCGGGAAGACTTTTTTATGATACACGCGAAAATTTTCCAGATGCACATGAGAGAAGAAAGGGAGGCTGGAATAGAGGGGGGGGGGGGGTAGAGGGGATGGGAAAAACACGTGATAATTGCGACCACCAAAACGCCTTTTCTCTCAATACGACTAGAAGGAAAGGCGCGCCACTGGGGAAGACACTGGTAGTGAGTCTACGCCCATTTCATCCTAGTGGAATGTGTCGGTAAACTCAACAGCTTGAGCTCAACAGTAAAGGCATTGAAGCAAATTCAGTTTTTCTCTGCGGAACCCCTTCTGCCTACCATCCTACTAGCTTTTCCTCCTATTTCTACCACTTTTTTTCCACACTTTTCAAAAAAAAATTTCCAGTTTTCCACCGGAATTCCTGTCGTGAGGGAGGAGGGGCAGCGGGGAAAGTCGCTGAGGAGCGGCCCTTCGCTTGATCGTGCCCGTCCACAACCACATCAAACGGTTCTGATTTCTGAAGTTCTCTTGGTGATCACCGCGCTTTTTTTGCGTGTTCCACGAGTGGCGGCACAGAACTGCAAAAAAAAATTTTTAAAAAAACTCCGGAAAAAAGGGTGAGGATGGATTTGGCGCTACGCCAAAACGTTACCTGGTTGGCCTCGCAGGCGGGAGCAGAGATTTTATCCCGACCAGCAGCGTGGTAACGTGCTACTTACCACTGCATCACCTTAACGCCAGCTCCAAAGGATAAGCCGATAGTTTCATACTCGCTCAAAAGTAGTAGCAGGGGCGCCTATATAGTAGCAAAGTGACGAAAAAGCGAGGTTGAACGGCCAAAAACTTTTGTTCTGTACGGCATTGGACGAGGTTTTTGGACGAGTTTCCCGTTGGCATCGTGCCAACAGCTGTTTGAAAGATCACGATCTGCACGATTTATATTCATATAGCGCACATTTGCGGTGGTGCGTTCGATCAGCATGTTTCACTCTTTTTATGTGAGCTATAAAGCGTGCGCTTTAGTTGGAGAAACGGTTGCACGCAGCGCCTGCCAGAGGGGGGCGGGCACATATTGTTTTGCTGCTGCAGCGTGTCGGACCCTGTAGGTCTTGGCGATTCATGGTACCACTTGCCTTTAATCGTGCTCTCGGCGCACACAGCATTCTTTGCATGACAACAATTTTATGCATGATATCGCTTTGCAGCCCAACAGCAATGATTTGGGCGCTCTGCAGCTGGCTGCTCGATCTGCAAGTTTTTCGGCTCTGTGCACTGCACTGTTTCTGGCCACGGGGATGGTCAGAGCGTTCTGGGAGCATTTCACAACCCTGCCTTGGATAGATCTGCTTATGCGGTGGCCAGCGAATTCTGCTCTCTGAGCCTTAGCTCTATTTGTAGTTGTTTGAAGAAACAATGCTGAAAAGTAGGGTCAGGCAGCCTGTCCGAGTCACGAAAGCAGTGCGGCATTCACACCGGATCCTCCATATCGATCGATCTGACCCGTCGCTGTTACAGTAGGCCTTGTCAACTGGCCAGAAAACGTTTCCAGCTGTCGATTCAAGCTGATCCGCCCCTCGTACTTCTTGACCCGCACTTGTTTGTTAGTTGCACACGGTAGAAATAAATTTTATTGATTGATATTCACCATAAGGTGATAAAAAAGTGTTGGGCCCATATATACACAGAATGTCTTATACTTATTATTTTTGAAGGCATTTCGAGAGGCACACATACTGCACGTTAGCTTGAAATATCATGGTGATGTCGTAAGATCATAAAATACAAATACACATGACAAAATACTAAATAATAATATTTTCTAGAGCGAGAGAAGGGAGTTATTGGAGTTGGAGGAGGGACGGGTTGAGCTAAATACAATTATCTCAGTAGGCTTATCGTTAAAGCACACTAAACGGCCAGGATTAGCCCGACCGTGTATCGCGTTGTACTCACACCCCCCCCCCCACCGTCCCCAACTCCAGTAACCTCGAGAGAAGTTCGTTACGCTATAGGAAAACAAGTTTGAGTTAAGTGGTTGACAAGGTGGAGCTGGCTCCCCTCCCATACTGGTGAGTGGCTAGGTAGGTTTATCCTTTTGCGGATAAACTTCCCTGATGTCACACTACCATGGGGATCTGACTCTAGGTAATTTTCATGGATTTCGAGATTACAGTATCGACAGTGAGAGAAAATGTGTGACCGGTTCCTCTTTTCAACTAAAGAGGCGTGGCATGCCGGTCTCTGAAAATTGGGTCACAGCTGCGTCTATACTCGGCGAATCTCGATAGAGCGTTGGCGGCTAAGCTGCTAGCGGTACGGTTATGCTGTGGATGAGATAGTGTTCTCGTAGAGGAGGTGGTTAGACAACGAAAGGTTAACTATTCCTTAGCCGCCATTGGCCACGACGCTCAGTGGGAGGAGTCACGCTCGACGTGAATCGATATGTATGTTTTGCATGAGCGGTTGTGCAGGAAATTAGCCGTGTATAGGCGCAGCTTCAAAGGAAAAAACGTGAAATGTCGGGCTATGCCTATTTTATACAAAACCGGATTTCTTGAGCTGATTCGAGTAGAACGTAGACGAGATGAACAAACACTACTAGTATGCGATCCACTGCGAGTTTGAGCTTTGGCAGCTCCTTTGCCACTCAAGAAGAGGACGTCCGACGCGAGCCACCATTAGGATCTGGAAATACATGAAAAATAATTCTGATATTGTTGCACAAATTTTTGCTTTTTGGAAGGGAGGCGTTTAGTTGATAGGGGTTGTGTTAATCCACGAAAGTTCAGCAGGGTTGGATCCTGCCCACGCCAACCAAGCTATTCATCTTGAAGTTAGTGAAGTTAGGCATTGGTTCATGAATTGACTTACGAGAATCAACCAGTGGACAACTCAGAGTTTTCAATTCTCACTGGAATCCTGAGGACCTGAACGGCTTGGTTCACCTGTACAGGATTTGAACCAGGATTTAATGCGTGATCGGCCATGGTTGTGAAAGCTCGCGCCGCCTGCTACAATAGCACTTGGATAAAAACTAGTCCACAACCCAACACGGCTTTAAACTTGTGAAAAAGAGCTAATTGTAAGTCGATAGGCAGACTCGATGGTGAAGAACGCCCACAAGGGGCGGGGTCCTTTTTGTAATTATTATGGTTCTTTTAATTATATTCGGTCCATAATCCGAGGACGAGAAAGAGTGTGCTTGGGCATGATAAGCACATAATAGCAGTTTGGATATCGCGTAGCCTTTGGACTATTTCACGCGTAACTGAGTGCCAGGAGAGCTGAATGCACACAGTACTAATCAGTTTCCGCCACGCGGCACCTCGCTTCAGGTGGAAAGTGGAATAGTGTTGCTTTCGCCTCCTGGCCTCACCTTCACGGTATGCTCAATTGTGTGCATTCACGGTGCCAACACATACGATTTCACGCGCAATTTTGGGATACTGTATCTCGCCTGTTTTCCTAGAACAATAATTTTGTGACTGGGTAACGGGTTCGTATTCCCGCATTGATTTCCCTTTCTTCTATAAATACTTCTCCGCTTTTCTTTCATTCGGACCCTCGTGGCCACGCCCCTTGTTGGCCCCAGATATGGACTGCATCTATGATTTTCTCGAATTTCAGGGTGCCGGTTGGAGGATGCATGTTGTGGCGATGCACGCAAAATAGCCAGTATTTCTCAGTCTGTAACACGTCTACACTGAAGGAAATAGGTCCTTGTTCTGATGCGCCCACGTAACGCCACAATGTCATTTTCGCCGCGGTGCCGCAGCGTGAATCTCCTGACCGATACCCTCAATTTCGCCTTTTACGAATGGTGGGTTCTCAGTCACTTACCGATCATACCAGCCTGAATAAACGACTCTCGACGTTCTTTCAGTCGAGAATAGCATCGTTCATACTGTATGCACCGTACCACCAGATAAATGCAGTAGAACACGAATACGGTAATGAACAACATAGCGAAGACGAGAAACACCAATCGTAGCGCCACATTGTGCTCCTTATCACCTTCTTTCCCCTGAAATTTATCGGAGTTATTGGAGTAATGCTATCATTTTGCTGGGGAGACTGGTTTGTCCTATTCTGCTACGGTTCCTAGTTCTGGTTTTCGTAGAATAATGTTCTTGAAAGTTTCACGCAGCTTTTCCTCTTTTTATGGGCGCGCAATCTAGTCGTATAGTCGTTTTCGCTGCAGGCGCTGAGGCGTGTCTGGAGGCTGGGATTTGACGTGGCGGCAGCTCTTAAAGGCAGTTGGCACGATAAATCTCTAAGAAGAGTAGGACTACCGCCTGGCAGGATGGGATTCCGCGACCCTAAGCAGGTGCTGCGTAGCGCCTTTTCTGAGTGAGGCACCTTAGAAGGGCCCTATCGAGCTACAACATTCCTACCCAAACGCCGCCCGCCCACAAATGGACGACCGTACCTGACGCTCGTATTGCTTTATTTGCAAAGTAAAATATGAAGCGAAGGGATTGGTATGAAGCGGCTGCGGTGCTGCATGGATATATGGTGGGATCATATCTGCAAGGCCAAAATCACCACGCGTAAGGTTGCTGCAATGCTTACGGAAAAACTCTCGTCCCGAAGTTGTTATTGAACCAACGAAGGTTTCTTCTTTGCTAGGTGTTTGAGACCGTTTCCTCGTTTTTTCGCGCCATTTTCCCCCACTATATGGCGACCTGCTAGCATTTTGGGCCAATTAAATATCGTGCCAACTGCCTTTATTGGCTAGCCATTTGGGTTCTCTTCAGTCTACTATTCACGTCCCTTGTTCGTGTTCGTCATTTGCCTGCGTTTGGATCAAAGTGGACCCGTGACAAGTCAAATAAGACTTCTTTTGCATTACACTTCACTGCATTACACTACATTACTACATTGAACAAAACGAATGCGGCTTCATTTAGAACCCACTTCTCCTTGTTGTTGCTCCTGTAGCCTCTCCCACCTTGTCTGCACTTCCTGCGGTGCAACCACCGTAGACACGCCAAACACCTAAAATCAAACGTTAATTATTTACAGTACTCCAAAGTCCAACTTGCGACAGAATAGAAACAAAATTCTTTGAACCAGACAGACAGCATTCTGTCATATTTTACTCTTCATCAACTTTCGAACGAAGCGCAGGGAGCAGTTGGTCCGAGGAACTTAAAGACGCTAAACACGTTAATTGTAGGGGCGGAGTCAGGCATATGCCGTTATGCCTTGCTCATTGGTGTGCGTTTCTTCCCCAAGAATGTGAAGAGGGCCATAAGTGAAGTACGATGGTAAGTCTGACTCCGATCATACCGCCAGCGTGGACTTCACTGCCATGGCTGCTTCCTTAGGAAAATTTCTGACCGAATCTCCCCCCCCCCCCAACCCTCCCCCCCTCCACATGGCAAAATCCGATAGATATCTAATTCGGAACCAAAAAAATGGGATAGTTAAAGGATGTGTAGTTGCACCGGTACCACCATTTCAACCAAGTCGGGCACCAAATGACTTATTACGAGGAAATGAAGCACGGCTTGGCTTGCGTGGGATTTGATCTTACAAGCCAGTGAGCGAGTGCATTGCGCCTCTAGCCACTACGTCACCTTACATATTTTTACGAAGGTAACTGACCTGAACGAATATTATGAGAAGTAATCGAGCTGCTATGGTTGGATACATAAGACTGATGTCATGCTTGTAAATTCCAAGAATTAGTAATGATGACGTCACAGCCATAAGCAGCATCATCAGTATAAGGCAAATCTCGAAGTATGACGGCTTCTGAAATTCTAAGAAAATGTTTGAGGTCTAGAAAAAGTCATTTTGGCCAATCAGTCCTTGAAGTTGAGTGCAACCTATCCCCTTAGAGGTACGGTCGGAATAGAAGTTGAAAATACGGGTGGTGAGAGTAGTGTGGCCCGCAACGAACAACCTTGTAGCGGTTTTGTGGCAAAAAAATGTAAGGGAGGGGCGCTATAGCGCAATATAGGTTCAGTGACGCCTCCTTTCTCCAGTGACTCCGCCTTCAAGGCCTGCCTTTCAGTGAAAAACGAAGCTGCAGGACGAAAAAGCATAGATAGTCGTAGAGTTCTTATCGGGGAATCAGCTATGCGGATAAGGGCGCAGTGTTGAAGATGGACGTAACTGGGAACGTGCAATTTGGGATCGGAGTGGGGTTCTATTTAAGGTAGTTGGACATGTTTTTTCTGCTTTTTTCTTCACTACTAGTTTCTCAGAACCTTGTCGTCTATATGTGAGCTTCTAGTCCACTGTCTGTGATGGCGAATGATCGCGAGCTTAACTTTGCCTTTAAGGCAGTTGGCACGTTTGCTGGAGGCGGGCGTTTGTTGCCAATGTCATTGGTAGAACGGCTGTGTGAGTGCGTTTGGGCCCCACACCCCATTCAGCTCTTCCACCAATGATGTTGACGTTCCACCCACTACCTTTAAAGGCACGCCTTGCGATAAGATGCGAAGTTGCTCTTCTCCGCGAGCAAGTAACCTGAATTGCACCACGTTCGCAGCGCAAAAGAGTGACAAGGGTGCCTATGTTGTCGTTCCTTTCATTGACCCCACCCACCTTCATTGACCCCGCTGCCGCTCTACCCAGCCATGTCAGCAGAAGACCCGTCAGAGAACATAGGCAGGGATATTGCTGTCAATAAAACACCAGCTGGGATGAACTGCCGCGGCCATATCAATCACAACCCAAGGTTCGATAATCTCGTCCAAATACACCCTCTCGTCGCAGCTATGGCGTACAGATGGCTTTGAAAAGGATCTTGTTTGAGGCTTTTACGACGGCTTTTCAGCGCTAGTTCTTTTAGAGTCCTGAATTTCCTGGCACTTTAGCGCCCATATTTCAGTCCCTTTATACATGATTTCTGATTAATTCGAAGATATATGGATAATGTGCTCGCGCCTGCGCCTTCGCAGGATAGCCCCTCTCAAGCTGTATCATGTTGGGAGGATGAGCTGAGAAATGGTCATGGAGTCCGCCCTACGCGATTTTCTCCGTGCAACCCGTTATCGCGGACTGTGTGTTTGATTTTTGATTGGGGATTACACCCAGGAAATATGATCTCTTAGAGGGTTCGCGTAGCTGTGACCAAAGTTCCTTTAGAACAGGGCACGTGTGAACATCGTAGCAAAGCGGCAACAACAGGCATGTGGCTAGAATTTAACACCTCTCTTTACTGTTTTGTTCAATCGAAGCAATGTCGCAGCAATTTCGTTGGCTGTGGGAAAACCCTTTTCGCGATTTCTCCCGGCTCATGCGTAGCTTCGTTTCATATGCTAGCTGGTGACGCCGGAGAACTAATATACATTTGCTCTCTCTGGCAGTTGGTGCTGGTTGTCAGGACACGTCGTATGCTGGAGATCCTCAGATCGAGAGAGGGTCGTCTTTCATCGCTGAAGGAGGGGGAGAATGCCTTGTCTTTAGCAAAGATGTTTTCTGTTTGGGAGAAGCTGGAGAATGTTCGGGAAACACCGAGAAAGCTGTTGGATGTTGGAAGAATTTAGGAAGATGGTGGGTAGGACGGGGAAGGTAGTGGGACCCACTGCAGAAGGAAGTACTGGGGAAGGGGATCGCAGGACGTCCCCTGCTAGTAGTTAGTGACGTAGTTGGTGACTTTAGTGAGGTTCGTGACGGACCCCTCCACCCCCCCCCCACTCCGCTGGCTGTGTCGATGTCATTTTTTTTCTGGTTTTTTTCTGGAGAAGAGGGAGTAGGGCTGGTACGGGTCGCTATTGATCCATTCTCGTGCTATCACCTGGCAAAACAGCTCGGCAACACATGGGTCATAAACCTCCCACTTTCTAGGCTAATTTGGTCCAGTCAACACCACACGGATGCGGACTGTCTTGACAACACCGTCCGAAGACTTTAGCCCATTTAAACATTTTTCTGGATTTTCCTTTTGACGGAGTGCAATTATCTGCTACTTCCGTACCATGGGATTGAATGCTTAGTCATTTACCACTTATATTTCCACAGTGAATGCATATCATGATGTGCATGTGCAGAAGCCGTTTCCCTGGAGTGATGTGCCCATCAAGCCGCGACGCGACCGCACGCGGCAGTTACTGGGAAACCGTTGGCATAGAGCAGACCGTAGGTTTGGGTGCTTAGTCATTCACCCCTTACGTTTGTTCAGTGAATGCATATCATGATGTGTATGTGCAGAAGCCGTTCGCCTGAAGTGATGTGCCCATGAAGTCGCGACGCGACCGCGCGCGGCAGTTGCTAAGAAACCTTGGCATAGCGCGATTTACTTCCGCTTTGCAGGTAACATGTTTATCTCAAATTCCAGATTTAAACTGAACTTTGCATCTGTTATTTGCACCGACTTTACACTATGTCCTAATTTACAAGAATTTCTTCACCGTTCACAAGACCTTAACATAAAAATAGTGGAGGGCAATCACATTGCAGTTGAATGACATTTTCAAAAATACACAGTACATGCCAGCGCAGCTGCTAGACACATTGTACTTGAGGTGCCTCGGGAAAAAAGTGGGAGGTGCCAGAAATCGCCGCATATTTAACGCGCACTCTCCCTCGCAAATCCTCTCAGATTTCTCACAACAATCAAATGCTGCATTTCATCGTTATCGCTTATCTACAAACACGAACTTCTCGACAACGGCCCGTATTTCGAAAAAGGAGCAGCTTGACGATGTGAGTTTTCATTGTATTGAGCCTCAGAGAACCTCAAAATTACAGTAAGCCTCCTAACCCCGCATAGCCACACTTCTGGCGCTGTTTGCCTTGTAGGGACCTGCCTTTTCGCTAGTTGCTTTTGTTAGTTCACATTAATTAACCTGAAAAACTTTGTGAAGGAATTCCCAAGACTCCACCAGGCTGCATGTTCAAGATTAGCTGAGTACCGGTGCCCCCTCCAGGCCGAACTGGCTCTTCTTCCTTTAAATTTTCTTGAGTTAGACAGCGGTTCTCTTAGCATTTTGACTTTTCTGGAAATTCCTCAATAATCGATCGTCGATTTTTCACGTATTCCGGAAATTCCAGGATCGGTTATTGATTCTAGAAACCATGAAGCTTATTGTTTAGTTAATCGATTATCGATCTTAGAAGTCGAAAAGCGCATTCGTTAAGTTAAAAATCGATCATCGATTTTCGCTTGTCGCTTTGGGATGTGCTCAACAATCGGTCATCAATTTTTGGGGGATTTTTGAGGATCGGTTCGGCTCCTTAAATATCAATTGAAGGCTTTCGAGTTGTCCTGGTTCTTTAAAGATCGATTATTGATTCTGTTGACCCACTCTACCAGCCCAATCAATTATTTATTTTTCAGGGACCCATTTAGTTCGTTGAAGTGTCGAGCTATGAACAAGGCGAAGCAGAAATAGATCTCATGGCGACTGGAGCTCTTCCAAACTATCCAGAAGCATCTGCTGGTGTGCCTGATTCACTTCCGAACTTCACTGTGATCGTGGTCCATATGGGCCAAATTCTGCATGACAAATAACGTTTCGCCAAATGTCCACTAGGAGGGGGCATTCAAAGAACCCTCGTGCAAAATTGGGATTGCCTTAATGGAGATCAGGATTCTACCCGATCCCTGTGGAGTAAGATTTTGGGATGGGTGTCCAAATTCTCTGTGCAAACAGGGGCACCATATAACGTTAACTTCGGTTTTTCACTAGCTGCCCTCTGAATGGCACTCCTGAGCCAATAATTCCGTTGTAAACCGCCCTTTACCACTTTTTTCCTTCATTTTTTTTTTCGCTTTGTCTGGAGTATACCCTAGGGTTTCCCTTCCTCAGTAAACAATTTGTCACTGGCCTAGAAGGGTCTCCTGTCAAATCCTTCAATCAGGCGACAGATTAGATTTGCGATCATTGTATTGTTAGCTATTTGTTCGATGATTTGAAATGCTGCCTTATTTGTTGATCTCAAAATGAAACTGTATTTTTAATTCATGCGGTGACCACGCACAGATTACACTCCATATCACAGAGATGGAGAGGGCGTGACTGCACACTTCACGCGACGACGGGAACACGGCTTCTCGTCGCTTTTTTTTTCATTTGAGACAACTGTCATCTTGTTTTTTGCCGAACAAAGGCATGATTACGGTTTTTCCAAACGGCACTACCCCACCAGAAGCGCTGCTAAGGCCACGTCCGAATGAAGTATTGTACGAAGCCACGTCCTCCTCACTCTAAGGTATACATCGTGGCTACTGGTCACATGCAATTTATATCGCCGCCTCCAAAAATAGCACGGAAATATTCTAGCAGAAGAGAGTTTCCCTATGAACGCTTTTTTTTCGGAATTTTTTTTGAGTGGGCACAAAACACCCTTGACGCTCTCTCCAGCTAATCCAGTGAGTAGCCAACTCAGTCGGACATCGGCTGACAAAGACTTGTGATGACCTTCGGCCCAGACTAGACTCTATGTTGTTACAGCAACCCATTCCATTCGAATGAGCAATGACTAAATCCCTACTGTACTGTCTATGGCTAGTTCGGGAGACGGGGGGGGCATTTTGCACTTTTGCTACTTCCCATCGACGTGTCGACCTATCTAGACAGCCTCTTCTCGAGTTGACAGGTTTTATCATGATGGCTTGAGCTTGCTCAGCTTCATAAGAGTTAACAGGTTTCACCAAAGTGAGACTTGTAAGCAGTGAAGCAACGAAATTGCAAAATGCCCCCCGTCGCCGAATGCGCTCTGTCTATGCAGGGGAGGGGAGCAAAACAAGTTACTTCGACCGAGTCACA